TTTTACAGCACCATTTATTTCTGCGTATTTTTAATGATATTACTTACTCTTGACACACATTAAAGACTTAGTTCCTATTCTATATTAGCCGCGCGCCAATTTACACTCCCTTATTTAAATACTAAGCTCTATATATTATTTATATTATTGATAAAACTGTCTCAATTTACATGTTTCGTATATAGCCAGGCCGGGTCGCTAGTAGTTAGTCCATACCGAGGCTACAAGAAAATTACTCCACTTCTTTAATTGTATTATTTCATAATCTAGAAATAGTAATTAGGTCGCACGTGATATTTGCGCTAACTTAGGCGACTAAACGAATTTGAGCGATTTCAGTCCGAAATAAATATGCTAATAAGATTAAATCTATTTATAAAAAGATTTCCTGTAATAACTAAGTTGCGTTTACATAAATTCAAGGCACGTGTTAATCATTCTGATGTAAATAGATTATTATAAATTAGATTATTTATTAAATTTTAAATCATAAGAATGCTTGGACAGAATGAGCTCCTTAGTTTTCCATAATTTTTGTATTATTTTTATAAGGTTAGATCGTAATTGTTGGGAGAAAAATAGTCTACATGTGAATTTCTTGTCAATTTTCATTCACAAGGTCTCCCGCAGAAGGTACTTGTGATGCATGGCTTTATTGATTTTCAAAAAGTGCTAAAGAAAAATATTATGATAATTGATAGAATCAGGCGTTACATATACATAAACACTCACGCCTGTCACCCATAGGGGTAGGTAGAGACTACGGACTTCCATCTGACATACCTCTTTCGCCTCCTTTACATCCATTTATCTACGCATACATGCTCATCGGTTAAGGGTACTTCTAATGTGGCCCATTTTCAAAAAATTGCCAATTTGGTCGATAAACTTTCTTCTAGGGCGTCCCTTCACGACTCTGCCGTTCACATCTGCCATATAAATTTGCTTTGTCACTCTTTCCTCATTCATTCTTTCTACGTGACCAAACCACCGAAGCATTCCTGTCTTAATCCTGGTTACAACATCATCTTGCGTACCACATTTATCTTTTATCACGCAATTTCTCACCCCGTCATTTAGGTTCAACCCTAGCATACTCCTTAACGACCGCATTTCTACAGCATTTATTCTACTTTCGTGCTTCTTCTGCCACATCCAACTTTTACTACTATACATTAAAGTAGGGACTAGCACAGCATTATGCCTTTTTGACACATTCTAATTCATCATAATAGAGTGTAGTGCGATGTGATGCGATGTCAAAGATAACACGACACGTGTTTCGCCTCTACACGAGGCATCTTCAGGTGATGTAGACTCTACGGCGGCTGACCGCTAAGTCAACAAGCTGGGTGATAATTTTTGTTTTAATTAACTATAAATTATTCTGTATGTTTTTGTTAAACATTCTGGATGTTTGTCTTTGTGAGATTTATGTTTATAAACTGTCCTCACGATACTGTAGGATATCCTAGTGTGGAGGTAAGGTTTTCTATTATGAGAAAAGAGAATAACAACGCTGCCCAGAGTCAGCAACTGCACTCGCCCACAGTGTTATTGCTAATATTTAAATCTTACACAGCAACTTCACACTATTGCCGCGATGTTGCCAACAATCTTTAATATTATCGATAATTGCCAATGTCTTCATTATAATTCCTATTTTTAAGTAACAACATTTTACCATAACGAAGAACCAACGTAATTGCTGTGTGATTCTCAACGGCAATCACACTGCTGATAAAGTTTTAATTAAAATAGACTCAAAAGTTTCTCGTCAAGAAAAAACAATTAAACTTACAGTTAGTATACAAACAGTAAAGTTAAAGTGAAGGCAAAGCGAACTTTTCATAAAATTTAGTGTCCAGGGGGTATCGGGGGCAATAAATCGATCTAGCTAAGATTAATTTTTAGAAAATGTTTCATCCGTCTTTTCAGGCAATGAAAAACTGCTACAATATTAATTGATAGAATATTGTGAGAATAAGAAGGTAAATTTTGACAACGTATTAATGATTATAATAGCTCAAATGAGATGTCGGACGGTCCTGTCTTCCGTCCGACTTTTTTCCTTTTTTTTTTAAAGCTCCCGTCTTTTTGAGAAAGTCTATTATTTAGAGCCCTTTTTTAAGTATTTTTTTAAAACACACGAAAATTTAGATTAAACTAATTGCATTCATGATTTTTTATTCAAATAACCAGTTTAGTTTTTTCTATTATGTCGGTAAGATAAAAGATATTACCTATTCATATTTTATCAGTATGTAATTTGTATCAAAATATAATTTCCAAAACACACGATTCCAAAAAAAACTAGTAGTAGGTCATCCAGGTACTATTTATAATTTATGCAAATCAATCCCATCAAAAACTTCCTTAAGAGTGGTATTACCCACGCCTAATAAAAAAGAAAAAGAAAACAAAAAATAATATGACTAAACACACTCTCGTATTCATATACATTCGTATTCACGTCACGTCGCGTAAAACTACGTCAATGACTACGACACTGAGCGCGATCCACTTTCACGTGCGGGCCGAATGATCTCGATAAAAGGAGCACCGATTCAGGTGTATAGTAGTTCAAGTTGTGGGTTTATAGACACCTGCGTTTTGTATCTGTAGTGTGAAAGATCCAGTAACTATGGGCTGTGAGGTGTTTCATCTAATAACGCTCAGGGGTGAAAACGCTTTTGTGGAATTTTTTTGTTTAATGTCGATCGCAGCAGTGTGTAGGCTGCAGCCGTCAGTTAACATCAACTTAACTATTGATGCGTTTGTAACTATAATATTACAAATATACAACTAATATTTTTTGTAATATTATAAACACAAACGAAGTTAGTATATACGTCCTAGAATTAATCACAAATTAAGTTTTTAGTTTCTCTTTGTAGTTTTTAGATTATCAATTACAAGTTATCCATTTTATTAATCATGTAGAGTATATATAAGGAGAACATCTCGGTGCAACAATATTTCTATAGGAAGGCTAAGAGGACATCCAATGTATTCCTCTCTGTTCTCGCTGGATAAAAAAACTCGAACAAATTATTTTTATGATTCAATATATGTGTATCTGCCACTGCCATGACCCTATCCTTTTTTTTATAAATTAATTATTTTAAAAACTAGGAAGCTTCTAAAATTACTAAAACAGCCGTTATCAGACATCCAACTAATGTTGTGGTAGAGCCATGCTGCAGCAATATTATAGTTGTAGCACGAATGGGTCAGCTCGACTCGGGAAGGGCCACATTTTCACAGAATACCAGCGTAAAATAGCAAGCTACTATGTTTCGTATGGTGAGTGTAGAGAACCAGAGATCCTTTTAACTGGAAACGAGGCATTCCATTTAATACCTCAGTGGTGACATCGCATCTACATTTTGATTTTAACGGAGGATAAATGTAAATGTTTATTGGCCACAGCATCCACTAATCATCAGGTGGACTGTGTGCTCGTTTGTCACCCTTATTCTATAAAAATTAAATCAAGAACAAAACAAAAGAAAGAAAACATAAGAGACATTACCAATGGGAGGAAACGACATTTTTATACATAAGTATAATCAGTCCGAGTTCAGAGAGTCAATAAATAGAGAAAAGGAAGAGTTAAAAAATTTTTAAGGAACAAGAAATAGAGAAGTTCGGTGATGCAGCCTTAGATGGTAAATCGCACTGTCTTAACGTAACCAAATCACTCCCGCCTCGATAACTGACTGACTCTGATCATCAGTCATCAGTCATAGATTGTCGAACTAGACACAAGACTTCTCTCATTTCTGAGATTGCTTTTAGAGCAGAAATATGACGTCGCACTGCTCCAAACGCGTTTGTGGACTTTAAGGGCCGATACTCATTATAATGCCGTTCACAGTTCGTTCTCCGTCCGATCTCAGTCTGATAAAATATAGTACCTGGATGATCGAGCTTTGCTCGGTTTTTTTTGAAATTACATTTATAAATTACATACTGATGAAACATAAATAATATTTTTTGATCTTATTGACAAAATAGAAAAAACTGAACTGGTAATTTAAATAAAAAATCATGTGTGCAATTAGTTTTATTACAATTTTCGTATTTTTAAAAAATACTAAAAAAATGACTTGAAATAATAGATTTTCTCACAAAAGAAGGGAACTTGAAAAAAAAAAGGTAAAAAGCCTGACCAGAGACAGGACGCGAACCACGGAACTCTGATCTCACGCCCGACCGACATCCCACCTGAGCTATTACGATCGTTAGTGATCTGTCGAAATTTACCTTCTTATATTGAAGCAGTTTTTTTATTGCCTGAAAACACGGACAAAAGGACATTTTCTAAAAATAAATCCTAGCTAGATCGATTTATTGCCCCCGAAACTCCCTGGACACTAAATTTTATGAAAATCGTTGAAGCCGTTTCCGAGATTCCGATTATATATATATATATATATATATATATATATATATATATATATATATATATATATATATATATATATATATATATATATATATATATATATATATATATATATATTGCTCGTTTAAAGGTATAGGATTCAAGTAAAAAATATGTATGTGTATTCATTCATACTATCCGTAACAGTCAAGTTTCGGTCGAATCCCATTCCATTATAATAAATCAGACCGAGAACGTACCGAGAACAAACTGTGAACGCCAAATTAGGATCGGCCCTAAATGTTTTGATGCCGGCGGGTGAAGAACTCTGTTTACTCACGATCGATGATAAAAAAGAAAGGGGTATTTTTTGCAAACATCCATATGGTGTAGATGGTATCATGAGTTTTATCGCGATGTACGTTGTTGAAATTTGGCGACAGAAATTATTCCAACAATTCTATGATGAAGCAAGTACGGTGCATTAAATGCAACGATGTTCTGAAACTTTGTCAGCGCGAAAAGTCATTAAACGGTTCTCATTTTTGAGTGGTAATACCATTGCTGGAAAACTGACAGTATAATTGTAAAATGGCGTAGGCCACCTTACCTGGTTGCGAGTGTCTCTGTGAGTCGGGAGCGGCTATAGGAGACAACGGTTCAGTACCGCGGGACACCACCCGACGCAATTCTCTGTTGCGTGCATGCTTTCCAGCCTCCCAAGGTTTAAGATCTCGAACGCCGTCAGCTAGGACCTCATCCATAAAGGACTCGATCAGTTCCTTGCCTAGAAATATTTAATAAATTTAAACTTCAACAAAATTCATTCAAACATTTTTAAAACTTCACGGTAGGTGTCAAATTGCTGCAGTTACCTTTAGCAATATTAGCCGCGTACTGCTTCATAGCGATCTTCTCGACCGTGCTCTCGAGTCCAAAGAAGTTCTTCACGTCGAGAAGGGCGCTCTGTTCGAAGCAGGTCCATTCTGCGTTTTCGGGGTGAACCTGCAAGAGAGAGATCCCGTCAAAAATGCTTGCAAATTCCCATAGTCGTGAGAAGGAGAAGAAAACCGCTTTTTAACTAGCTCCAAAAAAGAAGGAGGTTAACAATCGATTGTATGCTCTATTTTATAACAACATAATGCTTTAAATTTTTTTGTAACAGGAAACTGAGAAAGATGGTCGTGATAATGCAACTATTGTGGGAGAGAGGTAAGTGGTAGGTGGTCTGGTGCGTGCTGCTGCGTGCGTGCGTGCGTGCGTGCATGCGTGCGTGCGTGCGTGCGTGCGTGCGTGCGTGCGTGCGTACGTGCGTGCGTGCGTGCGTGTGCTGCGTGTGTGTGTGTGTGTGGGATTAAGTTAATTCGAGAATGGTTTGATTCACAATTGGACCCGGTAGGTGGCACTGCTATCGAGTTCTATAGTTTCGTATAAACATAACCGTATTCAATTAATACACATACAAATCTAAATAAAACACCATTCCATCTCAATTCGCCGTCGAAAAGTTCTTTAAAATATACTTTAAAAAAAATATTTTGTCTTAAAAAGCAAGGAACTGTAATTATCAGACTTCTATTTAGTATATATTTTATACTTTCGATTTCTGTTACTTGGTGAAACTTCAGCTTGACTTTTGTGGTTAGAAAAGTACAAGTATCTATCCAAATATCAAAAATGACATAGTTATACTTATAGCTTTTCACTACACCAATGTGAAGAAGTCTGACGTGAGTAGGGGGAGGTACGGCTGTACTGCGTGTGAAGATATTATTTTTATCGGTCAGAAAAGTGCTTAATTGCACCTGCTGAAATATTTTCACGTTATACGCGCACATTAGGTACCTTCAGTCGATATTTCTTTAACATTATCATATATTTAACAGTAGTCAAGAAACCGTATAGTGGCGGTGTAAGATTATCTACCACCCCATATCATCCCGTGGGTGTCGTAAGAGGCGACAGAGGGAAACAAATCAGGAGATGGGCAGCAGCGTCTTCTTAATAACGATTAAAAATATAAAACTGCGGTTGCCAGCCCGCTTACCGAGCGTGGCAACAATGGCAAATATCCCCCCCGATGAGGTAATCTATGGGAGGCCTATGTTCAGCAGTGGACTTTAATTGGCTGTAACCGTAACGGAATAGCTAGTATAGTGACGCGAGGGGGGATGAGCGGGCGCGGAAAGGGTACAAATTGCTCTTACATTTTTTTTATAGCATTAGGTGACGAACGAGCACACAGTATCTGTTGGTAAGGGTATGCTGTGGCCCATAGACATCCACATTTGTCCTCAATTAAGAATTCTATGCAAATGCATAGTCACCCCTGAGGACTAAGATGAAATGTCTCATTTCCAGTAAAAAGGCTCTCCGGTTCTCTACACGCACCGTACGAAACATAGCAGCATTACGCTGCTATATTACGTTGGTATTCTGTCAGAGCGTAGTCCTGCCCCGGTCGAGCCGACCAACTCGTGCTTCAACTATAAATATAGGTGCAGCATTGCTCTACCTCGTAAAAAATATATGACCCTCTTTTGCAAAACAAACATAGTTTCAATGTTAATCGCGATACCCAAAAGCAAGAGACTACATACACACGAGCTATTTCAACACAAGTGAGGCTTCTAATCTTTTTACAGTATACGCTGTGAAACTAAGTTTACTTGCTAAATACATGTATACTGTAGTGTATGGCACTAGAAACAAAAATAAAGAGCGTATCTATTTGATTTTAAAGGCAATTATTACCGCACTAAAACGAGCACTACTTATCACTTTAAACTACTGTTCTACTAATGTACTCGAGTAACTTTTGCACTTTACAGGATAATATAAACCAATAATTAATAGTGATAACATCAGTGCTACTAATCATTAAAAAAAAGGATAAAAACTTAAAGGAACTATAGTTAAACAAAATGAAACAGATTTATATTTACAAAAAATTTAGTAGCCTGAGAAACAGGTTTGTTTCTACATAACAATTTGTATGATACCGCGCTCAGTCACTGACACGTTTTGTTAAAAAAAAACGATTATAAATAAATGTATACTATCTAATTCTCGATTCGGACGGGTTATCAAGGAAAGGAAAAAGATAATAAGTCCCCGGCGAGGCCGAAAAAGCGCGAACAAATAAATTAAACTATAATGACAACGAGCGAGTAACACGCTCAGATTTGTATATTATTTGATAACATAGTGGCATCTTAACTATAAACATACATTAGTCAAGGTCTGCAGTGCGATTGTATAACTCTGATGGGAACCGTCATATTTTTTTTATAGGATAGGGTGACAAACGAACACACAGTCCACCTATGGTAAGTGATCGCTATGGCCTATAAACATCTACATCTATCCTCGATTACAAATCAAAATGCAGATGCGTTGTCACCCGTGAGGACTAAGATAGAATGCCTCGTTTCCAGTAAAATGGGTCACCATACGAAACACAGCAGCATTAAGCTACTATTTTACGCTGGTATTCTACGAGAGCGTGGTCCTTCCCCGGTCGTGCCGACTCATTCGTGCAACAACTATACTACTAATATAACTGCAGCATGGCTCTACCACGTAAAACTTCACTTTGTCGTTTCACGTTTATACGCAATGTAATTAAAGAAAGACGGTGTTAATGAGGGACGTGTAACCCGTTCTTCGATTTTAATTAGTTCCTTGAATACTCAAAAAATTTCTAGTGTGGGCTACACTACGTTACGCAGGAGGTGCTCGTTCAAACTTCACAACATCGTTTTATTTTACTAAACGGATCTTTACTAATTAATTTTTAGCATTTTTAACGTACAGTTGTTTATTTTGTACCTTTGTAATAAATCCAAAATATTTCGTTTTCGACAACGTTCCAATAATTACCAATTATACGTAATGAGACAGTTTGACAGTGTCTTATCGACCATTACGGCAATTCAGTTCGAATGAGCTTACCGTCGCCTGGAACGTTGTCATGACGAAGCGACTAGTGACGTGTTGTTGTTTAGTGTGGAGTCTACTCGTTCTTGATCATCTTCTTTAATGATGTGTGTTATGGATTATGTATTTACGCAAACATCATCATCACCATAACAGCCCGTAAAGGTAGTAGTTAGTAGTAGAGTATGTATTGTATTTACAACCAACGTTGTATTATACGTACAATCAACGCATCTGCATTTTATTTGATTTTTAATCGAGGATAAATGTAAATATGTATGGGTCACAGGATCCACTTACCATCAGGTTTTTTTTTTAATAGAAAAGGTGTGACAAAAGATCACACAGTAGTAAGTGGTGGTGCTGTGGCCTATAGACATTTACATCTATTCTTGAATAAGAATCAAAATGCAGAAGCGTCGTCCCCTAAGGACTAAGATGGAATGCCTCGTTCCAGTAAAAGCGGTGTCCGGTTCTCTACACTCACGATACGAAACACAGTAGTATTAAGCCCCTTTTTTTACGCTGGTATTCTGTGAGAGTCCTCATCTAGTCGAGTCGACCTACTCGCGCTACAACTATAGTATAGCCTTATAAAGTTGGAATGTGTGCTCGTTTGTCCTTATTCTATTAAAAACACAATTGTTACCGACAACTGTCAGCATCTAGTGAACATGTGATACGGCTCGAATCAAGTTTCCGTTTGTGGGTTATTGACGTATACGCAGATGCTAAGTATAGATCTTAAAATAAAGATATGCGAGCTAGAATGCGGCGGTTGCCGTGACTTCGTTAACTTGATTCAAGTGTCCGTTTCCGCCAAGAGCTGTTAAAAAACGCGCACAGGCGGAAGTGCTACGAAATAAGAAATGCTATTTATAATAATAATGTCCACCAGACTGAATTTCGGTTACAGCGGCCAGTCTCAACGAAGACTAGCCATCTGCCTGCGCAGGACAACTTCACAACATCTCTATTCCTTCATTCTCGTAGTCCAATGGGACGGTAACCGACACGAACAGAGAGGGATCAGGTGCAGGACCAACGGCGTTATGTGCTTTCCCAGGCACGGGAGTGAAACACTCCCCACTTCCTGACTGCAAGCTGCTACAGAAAATTTCTAGACAGAAGAACCCTGTAATTCATTTTGGACCGAGCCGGGATTCGAACCCACATCATCAACAATCACTTTTACGACCTTCTGGACTAACGAGGCAGTCAATAGAATAGATAAATTAGCCACTATTACTACTACTATTATTACCTACTTAGAAGTATGAAGGCATTTTTTTTTATAGAAAAGGGCCAAACGAGCATGCGGCTCACCTGATTAAAAACAATTTGAATTTGAAATTATTTTCAGGGAACCTGCATGTCTAAAAAATAAAAAAAATTATTTCAAAATATGCGAGGTTCGCTAACACGCTCCAATGCAACGCGGCCCAAAACCCTATCAGTATTGAGAGGAGGCCTGTGCCCAGCAGTGGGACGTATATAAGCTGTAACTTTAGTTTTCTATTTCTTTTTTCAGTTTTTATGATTAGGAATGAATAAATTAAGGTTTTTGAAAGTGTGTGAACATTAACAAGAGTAAGTTTTGCCAATTTTATGGAATTTAGTCAAAATTTACAGTTTTTAGGAAAGTTTACAGAAATTATTGATTTAAGTAAAGTTTCATTTTGATTTTTATTATTGACTAAATCAATGAGTTTGATGGTGCTTAATAGCGAGTAGGTCCTCCTCTGTTCCGTATGCACTCTCTGAATCTATCTGGGACACTTTCAATCAAGTGGGTGGTGTATTCCTCGGGTATTCGCTCCCAACACAACTTTAGGGCGTTTATGAGCTCTTGCGATTAGTCACATTACTGAAGTTCGATTTGAGGCTTCTTTTCAATTGGTCCCATAAATGTTCAATGGGGTTAAGATCGGGACTCATGGCCGGCCACGGTAAAACCGTAATATTGGCTTCAGAGAGAGCTCTCTGGGTTGTTCGCGCTGTATGTGGGCGAGCATTGTTTTGCATAAAGACGAAGTTTTCACCCACTCTTTGTGAAAATGGGATGA